AATAGAATAGTTAAGCTTTTAAACGACGAGCAACAGCACTAATAGACCTTTAAAAAAATAAAAGAGCAATAAGCAACACTTTTAAGCTTCGAATTAAAATAGACCGCCGAAAACCTTACGGACGACGACGATATTATACTTTAATTACTTTTACCTCTATCTTCGCGTAATCTAAAAAAGAAAGAAAAAAAGACCTTAAGCAAAAAAAAAGAAAAGGAAGAGATTCGGAGGTTACGCGAAGAGTTTACGAAAGAAAAAAAAGATATAAAGCAAAATATAAAAGTGATAGCAAAGCAAATAGCGGAATTACGAACCTACTTAACATAATACTTTAAAGAACTACGAAGGAGTACGCTAAAAAAGCAAGCTACGCAATCAGCGTACTTAACGGCTTCAAGTCATTAATCGCTACGCAATACGCTAATCTTATAAAAAAAGCTAAAATCACTTCAGCGGCTTTTGAATCCCTTTTTTAAAAGCTATAGCCGAATTTTCGAAAAGTTAAGACCGAGTAGCAACAAAAACGGTCTTAAGATCATTATCAGACTAAATAACGAACGAAGCTACGAGAGTTACACGCTAAAAAAAGACTCGTCAAAACTTAAAAGCATTTTAAGTAAAATCAGCTTTTACTAAAGAAAGCGTACAGATTTCCGTACTCAACTTTAGCAACTCGAAAAGAGAATCTAATACTTTTAGACGTATCGATAAGCTTTTTAGATCTTTTAATAAGCTACGTATCGATAAAAAGAATATTAAGAGTATAAGAATCGTTAAAAGCGCGCTTAAAAGTACGGATATTATTAAGCTAAAGCTTTAGCCGATGACTCGAATAGCTTTAACGATCTTAACGATAACCGACGAAGAAAAAACGAAAGAGATTAGCAAAAAGATCGAAGATACGGATACGAAGAAGATAAAAACGGCCCTTTTAAACTATTAAAAAGATTCGAAAGCGGACCTTTAAAAGACTTCGGATTCGGAAATAAGCTTTTTAAAGACTTTAAAAGAAGACGGACCACCGGCAATTATATCGGTAATCCTTTACCGATCAAACTATTAGCTAAGCATAGTACACTTGCGTACGGTACTTTAAGCGCTTTTAACGATAATAAAAACGATTTCTTTAAGCTAAAAGCAACGGACTCTTATTTAAAAGCAAAAGAATTGGTTTTGTTTGCAAAAAGCTTTTTTAAAGAATTAAAGTATTCGAGACTCGACGATAACTTTAAGATTTAATTAAGTATTTTCGTTAATTAAGTAAGTCGGTACAGCTTAACATCCGACGATTATTTAGCAGCGTTTTTAATTATACTTACGAAAAAAGCTATAACCTTTTATTATAATCATATGATTAAAGCTAAGCTTCCGACGTTTAAAGCAAACGCTATTACGATAAAAGACTATTTCGAGATTAACTATCGGCGGCAAGCAAAATACGATTGCTAAAAAGAAATTTCGTTAGATTTAATTAAAAAAAAGAATCTAAGAACTTCGCTTAGCGAATGCTTTAAAAAGCTCGTTAAAGAGCTTAAAAGCATTTAAAGCTTATTACGACCAAGTTTAAGAAACGATAAAAGTCTTGCTAACAAGCTGTATTCAGCTTATAAAAACGTGCTAAAGACGATTATTACGCGGATAAACCTTACTTTTACTTTTACCGCCGCAATTGCTGATATCCGACGAGCAATTGCGTTTGCAATTAAGACCTTTCGACCCGCTAAAGCGAGTAGAGCTTACGCGAGCTTTAGCGAGCTATACGATTACACCTGCTTTTAGCACACTTTAAAAGCTGACTCCGATTTAAACGAAGAATACGAATGCTTTATTTAAGACCGCTAATACTTCGGAAGTAAGAAAGCTATAAAAGCTATTAAAAGTAAAAAAAAGTGTTTTATTTACAAGAAGCTAAGTTGCTAAAGCATTAACTACATTCTCGACGAGCGCAAAGCTTCCGTAGCCAAGTTCTAAAGCTTTAAAAACGCAAAAAAAGTGACGAAAAGCAAATTCTTTTAATACGTAGCGTTAATCGAAAGCTTGCTATTTATATTTACGAAAGAATTCGATCAGTTCATCGCAAGCTTATTAAACGAATCGCTCGAATCGAGCAGCTACGCTAATATATCGAAAGGTTTTATAACTACTTATAACACTTTTAACGCTAACGAAGTATATAAACTGTGACGACACGCCAGGTCTCTTGGACGCACCTTACATGCGCCAAGCTACTTCCTTCCTTTTTTCCTTCGTATTCTTCGTATTTTCTTATTCTCCGCTTTTGACTTATGAATTATAATTCACGAGTTTTTAGCGCTTTTACTTTCGTATATATAGACTTTAATTATTTTCGACTTTTATACTCGATAGTTGTTGATTTTAAATTATTACTTTAAGATCTTCTTAAGCTTTTATATGAACTTCGCGCTCTCGTGAGTTCTTTTAAGTAATCGCTTAAGATCGTTATATTATTAATAACTACTTTATTCCGCCGAGAACGGCTTTAATAATATTCTTTTTTTTTAAAATTCCTTAATAGTTAGACGTCAAAACACTTAAACGACTTTAACGGTCACGAGAAAGCTTATTTTAAGTATAACTTAAAGAATAGCATTTACATAATATAGCAACTTTCGCTCCGCGAGCAAAATCTTTCGCACACCTTTTAAAGTTGCTTTAACAGCTCTTTTTTCTTCTTTTACGGCTTAACCAGCAGTTCTTTTTACTTAAAAAGAAGCTATTAGTAAGCAAGACGATAAAGATGATCCTTCGGCCTTTACTAACTTCGAGAAAGCCTTAGCTTAATACTAAGCTCTCTTTTAGTCTTAACGAAAAGCCGTTGAGCTTAAAAAGCTTTTCGCAAATATAAAAACCCGCAACGAAGAGCTTAATAAAAGCGCTAGCGAACAAAAAACCTTTGCTAAAAAGGCTAAAAAAGAAGCCCGTCGAGCTCGAAAGGAACTGAACCAGCTTTAAGCGGTCTTGCTAATTACGAAACGCTCGTCAAAGCCTTTTTAAGTGTTTTTCGAAGATAACTTTAAAAGCAAAGAGCTATATAAGCCTTCGGTCTTTTAAACTACTCTTTTTACTTATAAAACCGCTAACTTTCGCTGCTTTTTCGCCGACGACGATAAATCACTTTTTTTTTATAAGCTAATTAACTTTCGCACTTTAGTTAAGTTCAACACTTTTAAAGCCTTTTCTTTAGCTTTTCAAGGTCGCGCTTGTATCAAGCGGATCTTTAACTTTAAATAGAAGCTCTTAAACGGTATAAGCTATCGAGCACGCTATTAGCAAGCCCGCGTTTTCGACAACTTAAAAGCTTTTGAAAAATATTTTTTTATAAAACGCTAACGCAAGAATTACGTCTTTGATTAAACCGAAAGGATAGCTTATTTGTTCTTAGCCTTTTTAATTATAAATCGTAGCAACCTTATAATCGCTTTAGAACTCGTCTAGATCGCTTTCGAGTTCTTAAACGATTTCACTAAGAAGGTTAAAGCGTTAATTGAGTTCGAAAAACTTTATATAAAGCTTAACTAGCAATTCTAAGACTTTTACTTTGTTTTTTCGAAGCTTACCGCTACCGTCGAAATCAAGAACGAAGACCGATTACGTAAGGCTTTGCGTTTTAAGATTATTAAAACGCTGCGCGACTAGCTTTATTTAGAATTTATTAAAACTATAACCTTTAAAGACTTTTAGATCGCCGTTTAATAATTAGCTATTAGCTAATACGCGTTTGTAAAGCTTTACGACGCTTTATAAGTTAAATATAATACTTAATTCGCGAAGAGCTTTTATAATAAAGCTCGTAACGAATCCCGCTCGGCTTAAAGAGCAGCGGTTAAGCAAATTATTTATTACGAGAACCGTTAAAATAGCTTAACTCCCGTCTTTTTCCTTACTTTTTAGCGCTAAACCTTTAATAGCTTTAGCGTTAATATAAATCGATTTAATCGATTTAATAAATTCTTTTTTCTCGGAAACGCTTTTAAATTAGCGATTAAAACTTTTAAATCGTCTCGCAAGGATCCGAATACGCCGAAGTTCTTTCGCTATCACTTAATCAACGAAATAGAATACGGCGCTAAACCCGAATACAGCTTTTATTCGGATGACTCGGACGATAAGCTTTACTCCGACGCTCTTAAAGGTTATTAAAAGCTCTTTTTTATTGACTCCGACGCTCTCGATAATAAAAGAAACGTCGAAGCTTAAGCAAAGCTTTTTTCTTAAGCTAGCTTCGAGATATGCAATACTTCGACTTTACGAAGCTCTTTAATAATAAAGCTATAATTATACTCGTCACTTTTATTAAGAATAGCTTTTCGTATAAAGTATTTGCTTTGCTCGACTTAAAAGCTAATAAGTACGCGCTAATTGACTTAGCGCTATTCAAATCACTTTTTTTCTTTTTTAAACCTTTAATTTAACTTTTTTCGACCTTATTTTTTATTAAATCATATAATAAAGCTCGTAAAGCTATTATTTTTTATTTTGAACTTTTCAACTTTACGGTTGATAAGCGCGTTTAATCCTTTATTCTTTTTCTTATTATTAACCTTAAAAATCATAGCGTAATCTTCGGACGAGCATAGCTAGCTAAGCATTAAATTCTTTTTGATTACGCTCGCCGCAAGCTTTATTAGCTTTATTTTAACTTCTCGACCGCTATTTACGCTAAACTTATTAAGATTATACACTTTAATCAGCGTAAAGTAAACGCTCGTTATTAATACGACGCTAATAAGCGTGATCGAGCCTTAAACCGCTTTTAAAAAGCTTACGACGCTAATTCATTTGTAAACTATAATTCACGAGCGGATCAAGTAGCAACGATAATCGCAAAATCACTTTCTTTTTTTTAAAATCGTTTTCTCTTTGCTTTTTTTTTCAAGATCGTTAAACCCTTTTTTTTTATTCACTTTTTCGTAAAGCCGTTACTTTTTCGCTTTACGAAAAACACTTTTTTTAAGAATTACGTTAAATCAATATCTTAAATGAACCGTAAGCTTATGTTAACCGATATCGCTTTTATAAAACCTCTTTTACTCGTTAAACGCTTTCGTTAAACATTTAAGTATAAAATCAATAAAAACTTTAAAATTAACGGCGTTTTCGGATACGCGTTTTATATAATCGCTCGTTAAAAAGACGTAGAATTATTCTTTACGTCTTTTTACAAGCTCGATTGCTTAATCTTCGAGCGTTAAGCGATTGCTTTTATTTAAGCTGACTATTAAATAGCGCTGATACGCTTTATTAACGGTTTTATTTTTGCTATTAATTTTATAACGGAATTGTTAAAGCTTATTAACGACCTTTTTATCTTTTTCGAATATTCCGATTACGTATACGTGTTTTTTAAAGCCGTTAGCAACGTATTAATATTATATAAGCTTTACGATTATAAAATCGAGCTTTTCGAAAAAAAGGAGAAAGCGCTTCGGTACTTATTATTATACAAAATATCGATCTTCGAGCTAAAGCTTATTAAAGCTTACTTTATCGACAATCTTAATAAAGGTTTTATCGAACTTTTAATAGCGCTATTTGCAGCTTTAATCTTTTTTATTAAAAAGCAAGACGGTTCTTTTCGCTTTTATATCGACTTCCGCGCGCTAAATAACTTTATTCGTAAAGATCGATACTCTTTTTTTTTAATTAATAAGACTTTCGCACGTCTTTTAAAAGTTAAACTTTTTACGAAACTCGATATTCGGCAAGCTTTTTATAAAATACGAATAAACTTAGCTTTAAAAGAGCTTATTATATTTAGAATACGCTACGGTGCTTATAAGTGCAAGGTTCTTTTATTCGGATTGATTAATAGACCCGCCACTTATCAACGCTATATAAATGACCTTTTTTTCGACTTTTTAAATATCTTTTGCACGGCATATTTAAACGATATTTTGATTTACTTTTCCGACCTTTTAAAGCACGTTTATTACGTCCGTTAAGTTCTTTAACGATTCGACGACGCTAGCTTTTAAGCTAATATTAAAAAATGCGAATTTAGCATTATTAAAGTAAAATACTTAAGCTTTATCATTTTTATTAAAAGCTTAGAAGTAGATCCGGATAAGACGTCGATAATAAAGCATTAAGCGCCTTTTATAACCGTTAAAAGCGTTTAAAGCTTTCTTGGATTTTATAATTTTTATCGCCGATTTATTCGAGATTACGGCGTAATCGCAAAGCTTTTAATACACTTGATTAAAGCTAACGTTCCTTTTTTATTTAATTTTTAATATTAAAAGAGCTTCGACCTTTTAAAGTTCGCTTTAATTATTGCGCTAATCTTATAATATTATAACTAAAACCTCTTTTATATGCTAGAAACTAACGCTTTAAACGGCGTAGTCGCTTTAGTCTTTTTTTAAAAGCATAGTTTCGATTGGCTATTAATCGCTTACTACTTGTTGGATTGCTTCTAAGCGATTGGGAATATATTCGTAACTTCGTAAGGTCGTCAAAGTACTTGCAATTGCAAAACACTCGGTTGATAAAGTATCTGAATTCTGTCTACCCCTTAAGGCTTAAGGGAGATGACTCTTTCTGTATCATTAGAAGGAATCACGTGCACTAGCTAGCTAATAGGTTTACTTGTTAAGTTAAGGGTCCCTTGACTGCTGACATGCTAAGCGAGGCATACCAAGTGGCTCGTGAACTATGGTTCACGGGTAAGCTTCCTTAACTATTATTATTAGCTAGCTAAGGTCGATATAAAGATACCGACACCGGCAACTCTCTTTTTGGCAAGCAGTGCTTTGCTAACTATTATATCGACCGAAAAAAAAAGAAGGTAATCAAACAAAAGAAAAACAATCTTATCTTTCTTTTTCTTATAGCGGCCTTTCTACTTATCTATCTACTTGCACTTTTAAAGTATTAGTCAAAACTAGCTTTTGCAAAGAGGTATTGGCTTCGACTTTAGTTATGGCGTTAGTAGAGTTGGATTTTCTTTCGATTTAACGTACTTTAGATAGCTCTTGCCTCTCGTATGACTCTCGAATAGCTATAATATCGATCATCAAGCGCTTCTCTTTAGTAGTTTTTAGCTTTATTATATACTCGTAGAGCGAGTAAGAGTTAGTGTACACAATTACGAGGAAATTAAAGATCCTTAACTAAGCTATGATTTGGGCAAAGGTAATCGATATAGCAATAGCTATATCGATACTTAAAGACATAGCGTATAGCTTAAAGGCTAGTACTGCTCTTATTATTTTCTTGCATTTTTGTGACACTTAATAAAAGATGTTACTCGTTAAAGTGAACTCGTTCTTACTTACGTAAGCCTTATTGCTAAAGATAACTACGAAACCGATCTAAGAGTTAAGGTCAGCGTTGTTAGCAAACGCTCCGTTTATAAACATAAAGAGCTTCGCTGTCTTTAGGTCTAAAAGCACGTAATAGATTCTTCGTGTTAAGTGATCGATCAGCTATTGGATCACTTTATTAAAAGCTTTATAGTCTTCGTCCTTCGATTCTTAGTGTTAAGCAGCTATCGACAAAGCACAAGATGCTTTTAAGTAGCAAATAGTAACTAAATACGCTTTTCGAACACGTTGCTCTAAGTACTCTTTAGCCCGTATAGCTGAATCAAGCTTGATTACTGCAAGCCTTTTACTTTGCTTTTTCTAACCAACTAACACTCCGAACCCGTTTTTATTTAAAGATAGCTTGCATCTATTGAAAATCATCGGTTCGGCGTGTGTAAAGATCTTTATTTCTTTGCTCTTTAGCTTAGATTTAATTAGCTCTCTCTCTTCTCTTGCTTTTATAGCTCGATTAACAATTATAAGAACATCGTCCGTTTGTAAAGCAGCTATTCTTAACTGATCTTTATTAATTAATACAAAAAAGCAAGAGTCAAAGCTCAATTGCTTTATGCCGAGGTTGTTTATAAAGTGTTCGGAAAAACGCTTATACTAATGCGTTTTTGCTTTAAAGATACTGTATAAAAAGCTAGTCATAAAGAACAAAGTGCCGAAAGGAAATCGATAAGTGATCTTTTTAAGTGGTCGCACGACGATTATTCGTATAAGCTTCGTGCTTGATTGAGTATAAGCTTAAATGATATTTTTGCTATAGACTTGACACTCGTAATCCTTTATCAGCGAAAGAGCTAGAGCATAATAGAGTCTTTAGCTCGCTCGCTATACCGTAAAAGACTCGGTGAGTACCTTCGTTTTGCTTTTATCTTAAAAAGCTTAAACTATTATACGAGACTTCTCGTATAGCGTAAGTGTTCTTTTGCTCTTAATCTTATTAACAAACTTAGACTCGAAGATTTTAACGCTTTTAGCGCGTGAGTCGGTGCTCGAGATCACTTAAAAGATACTTTAAGCTATTAATCTAATTAATTCTTTTGCTCTAGACTTTTGAAATAGTGCTTCGAAGCTCTTAATGATTCCTTCGGCTCGTAGCTTAGCTAAAAGCTTATAGTCTCGGCGTTCTTTATCGGTAATCAACACTTCGGAGTCCTTAGTGAATAGAACGTAAAAATCGTCTTCTTTTTCGTCGAGCACGGTCGGGATACTCGAATCGTACTTCTGATAAAGTATCTAGATTATTAGTATTATTAACTTCTAAAGATTAGCAAGTTAAAAGTTAAAGGGGTTGTTTGCTGATTTAAGCGACTTCGGTAGATTAAGCGAATGTTAAGGTTTAAGCGAATTTCGCGGTTCTAGCTCTTTTTCGCTTTTACTCTGATCTTCTTCTACTTTTACTTCAAGTACTTGCAACTCTTTTAGCAGCTTTTCAACTTCAAAGTAATAAAGTTTTATTAAAGTTGACTTGAATTCCGTAAGTCTCGGATATGCTATTATACACGTGTGCTTTTGCTTGCTAAGCAGTTGAAAAAAGCCTTTTTACTTTTGATTCTCTTGTTACACGAGTACTTATAAGCTAATAAAGAGGTCCAAGGTATGCTTCGTAACTGGCCTATTCTTCTTCTTGAGCGCGTTTTTAACTTGCTTCGCTGCGTAGCATTTTCGTACTTCTTTTATAGCTTTATTAATAGCAGTAGCACGCTTTTAAGTAAACGCGGCAAGTCGATCTTGTTCCGTCAGCTTTAATAAGGTCTTAAAAACGAGAAGCGTAAGGATTAAGCTATTAGGTCTCGTCGTATCGTTAATAGCTTTAATAGCTATTTGAAGCCGGTCCTTTCTTAAGGCTTTTAAAAGCTCTTTTGTGACGATCTTAAAAGCGCGTCGCATAAAGACGTAATAGCGTTTTACTAGCTCGACGCTATAATAGGCTTTTACAAGCATCTGCTTTAAAGTGCTACTAATACTTTTAAAATAGCTTCGGAACGTTGCCGAATTGAAGTTGGTTCCGAGATCGTGTACGACGTTTGTAAAAGGTCCGACGTAAGTATTAACTTAATATCAACTGAATCTTTTAAGTAAGTGTTATGCGGATATGCTTTTAAAAAAAGTAGCGGCTTGAAAATTAATAGAATCGCAAACGACGTGTAATACGTTTTTGCTATTAAAGTGTATTACGTCTACGTATACCGTATCATTAAAGTTAGTATTATCTTTAAGCTTAATACTAAACCTTTTCGAAGAGCGTCCGAATACTTAATAGTGGTAGCAAAACTTTTAAATGTTATAAAGCAAATCCCGCTTAAATTCGTGCTCGGCCCTCTTAAGAACAGCAGCAAATCGATTTGCTAAAGAGTGGCTAAAACGCTTGTAGATGGTTTTTAATTGCTCTTCCGTAAGGTAGTAATAGACGGTCTCGCTTTCGGTGCTATAATAAGTAGCAGCGTGCTTTTTACTTAATAGTATCCACACGTGCTTAAACATCTTTATTACTAGTATTTCTTTCTTCTCTTAAACTAGCACGTTCCGTAAGTTATTTAAAATCACTTTGTGCTTGTTTATATTAGCTAATAAGAATAAAAAAGGTACGTCGCTTTTTATAACGTAGAACTTTATTTAACTCAAAGGGGTATCTAAAGTAATTGTTTTAATAGAAGTGGCAAAGCCGATCTCGTACTTAACGGATTTCTCTTTTATTCAAGATATATTTAATTAGACCTCGAAGTACTTCTTTTAAAGTGCTCTTAATTAAGGCAAGCTAACGGTAAAGAAATTAGCTGCTCCGCTATTAATCATAAAGCTTATGAACACGTTTTCAGAGTACTTAAAGACTATATAAGTCTTTGCTTTGCTCGCGAGCACACGCGGATCTTATTCGAGCATCTTTTAGGTTTTTACTTAGCTAGTAAAAGCGTAGAATGCCGTTTGAATCTTTAGTTGTTTGTATACTTCGTTAGCGTTAAAAGTGCCGTAAGTAGTCATAAAACCTTTTGATATGTTAGCGTAGCTATCCGATTCGAGCGGCTCGTCTAGTAAACTTGCGATAAACTGATCGAATTTTTTCGTAAATATAAGTAGCAAGCTTTTAATCGATGCTACGTATTAAGAGAATTTGCTTTTCGTCACTTTTTTTACGTCCTTAAAGGCCTAGAACTTAGCGACGGATACCTTTCTTTCGTCGAGGGTATAGTTAATGCTTTAGCAGCTTAGCTTTTTGCAAACAAAACACTTTTTCTTACTTTTAGTAGCCTTAGCAGCTTTCTTACCTTCGAAGTATTAGCGATCTTGAATAAAGCATTCGTATTCTTCGTTTAAATCGGAGTCAGCTTTTAAAGTGTTGTAAAAGCAAGTATAATCGTATAGCTCGCTAAAGCTCGCGTAAGCTTTAACTTTAGCGAGAGGTCGAGAGGTCTTAGTTACGAATGCAATTGCTCGGCGGATGTCGGCAACTGCGGCGGTAAAGGTAAACGCAAAGTTTATACGTGCAATCGTAGTCTTTAGCACGTTTTTATAAGCTGAATACAGCTTGTTAGCAAGACTTCGATCGTCTCTTAAACTTAATCGTAGAAAGCTTTGAATGCTTTTGAGCTTTTTAGCGAGCTTCTTAAAGCACTCGCTAAGCGAAG